AAAATTTCTTACTTAGAGATTTCAACAAAAGGACAAATATAAAAACATAATAAATGAGTCGTGAGAGAGAAAAATACTAAGAGAAAAAACATAATAAAAACAAGAAGGAGATGATGAGTAAGAGGAGAGGAGAGAGAGGTCCAGTGTTTGAGAAAGGAAAGTGTTTACTTAGTTTAAGTAATTATACAACTTTTTGAATTCTCTTAGTAGTGAGACAATCGAGACTTTATGAATTTTCTTTATGAGACACTCGAGATTTTATGAATTTTCTTGATGAGATATCGAGACTTTTAGAATTTTCTTTTCATAAATATTTATATTATATATTGTCTTTCTAACTCTTTATATAATATCACAATAAAAAAAATATTAGTAAAGCATACCACGTGCTGACCGGTGGGTTGGCGAGCTTGACGAACGGGTCAAAACGAGCTGACAGTTGAAAGTACTAACTCACCCCGTCATATTATGACGAGCTGACGAAGTCGACCCGTCGGACCTGACCCGTTTTGGCTTGTTTCCAATTTGAAGTACTAATTATTGTTTCTACATTCTCAGACAAAATATGATTTCTGTACTTATTGAACCATCCATTTCTTTAAAAAAAAAAACTTTATAATTTTTTCTTACTCATATATTTTAACAAAAAGACAAATATAAAAACATAATAAATGAGTCATGAGAGAGAAAAATACTATGAGAAAAAAATGAAACCTTAAAAAAGTAACAAATATAAAAGAAAAAAAAAGTATGAAATATATATGATTTTTACCTTATGAAGAATGATGAACAAGAAGGAGATGATCAGTAAGAGGAGAGGAGAGAGGTTTGTGCTTGAGAAATGAAAGTGTTTTCCGAATTTAAGTAATTATAAAAATTTTTGAATTCTTTTATTAGTAAGATACTTGAGACTTTATGATTTTTTTTTATGAGATACTAATACTTTTAAAATTTTCTTTTAATAAATTTTTATATTATATATTGTCCTTTCGATTTTTTGTATTGTATCACAATAAAAAAAATTATTAGTAAAGTAGATCGCGACTCGACCTAGTGGGTTGGTGGACTTGGCAAGACGAGATAAAACGAGCTGACTGATTGAAAGTACTAACTCACTCCGTCGTATTATGACGAAGTTGGTTCATCGAACCTAACCCGTTTTACTATCCTTAAAATTATTAATGATTTTATATAAACATGTAGAAAAAAAATCAAATAATTGTAAAATCATAATTTTTTTTTCATTTGGTTCTGATACTAAAAATCTTATCGCACGGTGTAGTTATTAATAGATTAAGATGTTTAATGACTCCAAACTTTGAAGAGGACAGGTGTGTAGATTTCGACCACATATATCTTCTCATATTATCCGTGCACGAGGAATTTATTGATTTGGAGAAGAATACAAGTGCATATAGTTTTAGGCATTCAACTATCTTCTCTACAAAGTTTTTTAGAATAATAAAATAAAAAAAATAATTAATATTTGTTCATAATCAAGTTAAGAATAAAATTTAAATAAATTATACAACAAAATTTTAAATTAATAATTTTTTCATAAAGAATCTTTTAAAAATACTAAAATAAAAAAAACTCTTGAAAAGCAAAATTTTTATTAACTCTCCTTCTCTGAATATTAAAAGTTTGACATTGTCAACCAGTATGATATATTGTCATAATTATATATATATATATATATATATATATATATATATATATATATATATAAAATTATGACAAAATATCATCAAAGCGATGTAAGAAGGCAATTAAAATCGTATCCAGTGAAGATCGTCCCGAGTTTGATGAGAAAAATTCGAGTTGATCGGAGCGAGGTCGGGTTCAGGTTTTCCCGCTTTAAAAAGTTGGGGCGGGGATGGGTAATGCAATCCCGACCCCATCCCCGTCTCCGTCCCGACTTTATATTTAAATTTAAATTTTAAAATATTAATATTTTAAAAATATTTTCTTTTCTTTTTCTATTATATAAGGTCATTTTTTTATATTTCACCAATTTTTTTCTTCTACCCACTTTTTAATTTTTTTGTCTTTTTTAATATTTTATATCAATTAATTTATTACATTATTCTTTCTCTTACCTTTCAGCTTTTTTCACATTTCCTTAATCTCTCCCATCAATTTGTTTTTTTTTCAATCTTTTCAACCAATTTGATGAACACAAAGTTAATTTTTTTTATTCTTTATCTCTTTCTAAATATTTCACATAAATCTTAGTAGTAACTAATATTATTTTATTTATAATTTATATTTATTAGGTATTATTATGTCATATTTTTTTATCTTATTATTCTTATTTATCATATATCAAATTTTATCTTAATAAAATAATTGTATTTTAAAGGATTAAAAGAATTGATAATTTAAACTTGTATTACTTCGAACTAATTGAATAAGAATTAGCTTATTAAATATTTTCTTATAAACTATATATTTCATATTTTTAAATGATAACTTAAAAATGAATTAACTTATATATATAATAAAATGTTTAAATACGATATTATAATAATAATAATAATATTATAAATATTCAAATATTTGAATACGAGTGTTATAATAATAATAATGTTATAAATAAAACATGATTAAATATTTCTTTTATATACATATTTTAATATAAATATAATAAATTAAAATGTATATTTAATTAATAATTATTATAAATTATAAAATTATAAATATTTATTTATATATAAAAAATAGATAGTAAAAATAATTTATTATAAATATAATTATCTTTTTAAAAATAATATAGATCGGAAACGGTGCGTGAACCCGAAACTCAGTCGGATGAAACTTAATTTTTAACCCCCACAAAAATCGAGAACGAAGACGAAGATGATTAAAAAAGTCGGGCACGATCATCAACAGTCAAAACGCGTTCCCACCCCGCCCGTTGCCATGACTACATGTATCTCTCTCTTTCAGTTTTTTTGTAGTATAAATATTTGGAAGAGTGTATGGTTTAAAAGAAAAATGGGTTACTTGAGGAAGATGATTCTAAACATGGTTTTGGTGTTTGGGTTACTCTTATCCATGAACCTGGCAGAAGCAAGGGTTCCCCTTTTCATGTCCCAACCACGTAAGTAACCTCTCTCTCCCATTCTTTCCACAAATTATTTCATCTTTCTAAATTTAATTAATATTAATGTTTCTGATGATTATATATTGATGGATTACTGATGAGTATTGTTTTGGGTACCATGAAGATGGACGCCTCCTTCTAAATACTGCAGATCTTCCACAAGGCGGCAATTACTTTCCTCGTTTCCCTCCTGTCGGTCCATGACTTACCACTCACGCCACAGTGCTTAGAATTTAAGTGTTTCACGTTCTACGAAGAATAAGTGTTCCTGAGAGTTGAGTAATTTATAAATAAAAAAGATTTATAATTTAATGAATAATTATTACTCATAAAAAAGTTAAAAAGTATTAAAAATAAGAAACATTCACAATTTAATTTATAAATATTTGTATCATACTGTTATATAATTATCCGTTGTCTTATTCATAAGAATGTACTTATTTCTTAACTCTGGTTTTAACCATAAAATATGCTTTCAACAACGAATCAACCACAATATATATTGTACGATTTTCGTTTTCAGTTATTTTATCTCAATAAATATGCATCTTCTTCTGATTACTATTATAAAAGTTCAAGCATAAAGGGATTAAATCCATTTATCCCATTTTATTTTTAAATATAATCTGCAATTCCAAATTATATTTTATAAAATCCACAAAAATAATTCATGGACTTTTAACATATGCTAATAATTAAGGTATTTTAGTGAAAAAGTCGCGAGAATCTTTATTAGATTCAAGTGAGAACAAAAAATTTATTTTTAATTTAATTTTAAAAGTTGTTTTACTAAATTAATTCGTTCAAAATTTAATTTTGCTGATAATTTAAAATAATATATATTAAATAATTTAATTCTTTCTATGTATCATCAACTTTTAATGAGAGTAAAATTTGTAGGAGTACGTAAACCATATTAAATAGTCGTATTTAAAATAAGACAGAAAAATAATAATAAATTATTATAGGTTTGTATCTAATAATAATAGACTCTATCGCTGTAACGAAAATGTTAAAACGTGAATGTGGACGTTTTTGTAGCTTTCGTATAAAGTCTTATCACAAGTCTTCGGCTTTGGCATTTCCAACAGGTTCAACAATTTTGTTAGTTTTATAAAATAAAAAAAATAATATATGACACAATCTCTTTTTTTTTTTTTTTAAGTGGCTAAGTCCTTCCATAATAATTATAGTTAAACATTATTATTATTATTATTTTTATTTTATGTTATTGTTATTATTTTAAATGTCAAAAATAAAAGTCAATATCTCCTGTATAATTAAAACTTAATGAACATTTCTTTCTACTTATTCATAAATTTAAAAATCAAAAATGAAAAAAAAGAGTAGGTTCTAGGTACAATATCAATTTCAAAAGTAATATATATATATATATATATATATATATATATATATATATATATATATATATAAACTATGTATTTTTTTTTTTATGTATAATGTGTACACAGCATATAAAAATAAAAATAAAAAAATACTAAAAATGACTCTCAATATCCTACCTATTCTTTCTCTATATATGGATAAATTTGAATAATTTTTTTATCAATAACTATAAAAGGAGAAAAAAGTAAAGTAAAATAAAATAATTTTTTTATAAATGAAAATCAATATATGCACTTTTTTAATTTTTGAAGAATTGGAGGAAATAACTTAAAAAAAAAAACTTAAAGTGCATAATTTAATTTTAACTTATAAAAAAATTAATCTTTATTTTTCTCTTTCTATAAGTAATTGATAAAAAAAAATCCAAACTTACTCGTGTGTTGGAACAAATTCTACCACAAAGTCATCACTTTTCCCTTCATATCCAAGGATTAAAAAAAAGAAAGAAAAGGGAAAGCCAGTTCTTGTTGCTTCTTATGGATGTGGATCAAGATTCAAAGCTCAAGAGTTCATTTAGTAGTTCCATGGAAGACCTAGAATGCAAGTGGCTATAGTGATCATCATGAGATTTCAACCAAGCAGACTCAGAAAAATAGGCATCACTGGTATAACTCAGTGGTTGAATATTTGTGCCCTTTTGAACACCATCATCATGAACACCATCACAACAGTAGTAATCAGCTTCCACAAACATGTCAGCAACATTAGAGGCTTGGCCAGTGAGTTCTTGCACGAGGGCTCTGAAGTTGGAGGCACTGGTTTTCACCATCATGGGGCTTGAGATGTATGTCACTTTAACATCCTTCTTGTGACCCCTTTTGCTCTGCCCTTTTCTCTTCATCATCACAACATGGTTGTTAACTCCAAGCATTATGTCTGAGATGATCTTAATAATCTTCTTCTCAGCAAATCAACACACTATTGCCACAACTAGTTCGGGTTGAAAAAGTTTCAAACTAGGGTTTGTATTTATAATACGATGATGAGGGTAAGGGATGAAAAACCATGGGGAATTTCCGGGATAGTGATTATGGTTCTGAAAATTAAAGAGTTGGTGGTGGAAAAGGAAGATGGAAGGTTCCATTGGGGTGCCTATTTAAAATCAAGGGACCATTTTTGTTGTATGGATATTAACATGGTAATGAAATGATGTCAATGTGTTTGATATTTATTTGTGGTTTGTGTTCAATGAACCCTTTACTGAATACGCAGTCATGGATGACTTGAAAGTTCCAGCAAGAAGAAGCTACGAAGATAGAAATTATATATATTTACAAAGGATTAACATATTCCAATTATTATATTATATTATATTCGGTTAATTTCCATTTTTAAACGAGGTGAGATTCATGTAAGATAATTATTACTATTTTATTATTAAAAATATAAATGAATGTAAAAAAAAAAAACTTAGTCTTTATTCTTAATTATATATGCAGAATTAATTGATATATATATATTTATGATAATATTTCTTGTGTGTTATATAGATAATTAGCATAACTTAATATTAATTTGTTCATACATATAAAATGGAGAAGAATTTAATTTAAATGTCAGTGTCATGAAAATGAAATGATGATATTTTCTTAGAGCTGAAGTCAGAGATATATGGGATGTGGTGTCGTCACTTTTTTGCTTGTTCAACAAGAATTCGTCACTTTTTTTTTTGAAGCTATTTATATTTTTTATTTTTGTTATATTCTAATTAAAGTATGTGAGAATAATATGTTCAACGTTTCTCTAAACATTACACATTAATAATTACTTATATTTATTTGGCACCATTAAGTTTATTTGTAATTATAATATTTTTAGAATTATACTTACATTGTTAAAGAATAATATTGATGAAATTTTTAATTTTTAAAGTTTAACTCTTCAATTACTCGGTTTATTGTTTATGAACTATAATAATTACGATTATTTAATAAAAAATTTATAGAAAAAATATATAATAAATATTTGTACATAATTTATCTAATAAATTTTAAGTTTTCTTTTAAAAAAATAAAGAATTATATCATGTATGTTCAAAATGTTTATTTATTCAATAAAAAAAATATTTTACATTTAAAATTAATATTTTCTTATAAAAAAGTCACTATTTTCCTTCTTTTACACAAAAATCAATCTGTTAAAGAGGAAAATTGGAGGAAGGTGTGGTGTGCATAATGGACTCAAAAAACAAAACTGACTTCCAAAATTCAATGTTACAAATACGTACGGAACTTGGCTGTCACGCATGCTGAATTTCACGTGCAAGGAATCTAAAATGCTTTTTATATAAGCCTATCAATTTAAGATATAAATATTAGTAATATGAAAATTAAATGAAAAAATTAAAGTAAATATTTTAAATACAAAAATATATATATTTTAGAGGAAAAGAAAATCCAAAAACTAAATTAAATGTGGATAATAGTATTTTTAGATTTTTTTTTCTATCAAGTTACTCTTAAGCCAAAAAATCTCATAAACATCTCTTAAAAATTTATTCAAGGATTTCAATAAAGTAGTTTCATTCGATTTTTTTTTTAACTAATATGTCAATATATTTTTGAAAAGTTGTCATTGAATGATGAATTGTACCCTTCTTCATGACACTTTTTCAATGTGGTTTTATCTATTTTTATTGGTAGTGACTTCTTGTTGTGGTTGTCTCTCCATAAACATATCATCAATTCTTCTTCTTCATCTCTTTTATTAAATATTTGATGATGAGTCCTCCTCACTCAAGCTCATCTAAGAAGAAGGAATGGTAGAATACATTTGACTTCTATATCAAATTTTACATAATTTCAGAGTCATGTCTTGACTAATTTTACCAACACTTAAACTGAAGATGAATATTTCATACTAATTTTATATAAAATAAAAATTAATAAATTTGAAACATAACCATATTCATTATATTAACTTAGTACATAATAAGTCCATATTTATTTTTTATTTTGTAGGTTGGGCAATTGTCGTATTGAATGTATCCATCCATACAAAGGATTTGAAACTCAAATTATTTACCCATCTTTCTCTTTCATCATTCTACAAAATGCTTAACACGTGGCAAATCTTTCTTGCATTGTAGTGGCATCAACTGGGTTAATTTTTTCATTTTTTTATTACTTTGGTTCCCCATGCATGCTTCAATTTAAATCATTCTCCAGCATCCTGAGAATGAATTTGATATGCTTCTATCATGACTGTTATTGTTTGAATTACCACTTTTCTTTTTGATTTATAATATTCTATAAAGTTTTGAACTATTTTATCATCGTGATTACTTCCCTTGTAAATCACCACAATACTCATTTTAATTATCTGTAATTCTAAATAAAAATGAATATGGTTTTTTTACCCCCACAACCACATAAATAAAAATAAGTAGTCATGTTTGGACGAGAAGTTGATGTAGAATAGAAACATCTAGGTCTTCACAGAAGCCAGCCAAGAAGGTAAGCTCAACTCTGTCAATAGATAAAAATATATTCTTTCATTGATGAGACTGGGTGAGACTTACACACCAACTTTTACTTCAGATACAGAAGCATTTGCATACAAAGGGTGGAGAACATGACCTTCCCTAGGTTCAACATGCACCCATTTGCGACCACTCAGCTTGTTGTGTTCAAACTTCACCCATCCCTCTTTCAACGCAAACAAAGTATGATTTTTCCCGAGTCCCACGTAGTTTCCCGGATGAAAACGAGTACCACGTTGTCGAACAATGATATTTCCAGGTATCACCCTCTGCATAGTAAGACAAGAGTTACATCTTGAGTGAATGAAGTCAATGAACCGTGTCCAGAACATCCACATTCAGTTCTCACTTCCTCTATCTGTATGGCATAAAATTAGTACTCAAAAAGTGTAAAACAAATACCTCCCCACCAAATTTCTTGACTCCAAGGTTCTTGGGTTTTGAATCCCGTCCGTTCTTTGTGGATCCGGCGGTCTTTTTGGTAGCCCAACGCCTGAACACCATACTCAAACCTTCTCCAGAAACATCTATAATAGTGGGTCAAAAAATCATCAGTCTAGATTACTTTTGAAAGAAATCATACAGTAGCCAATATAGGATCATGAGGATATACCATTGGTGCTTCTATACACAGGAACATTTGTCACAAGTTCCTTGATACTTAATCTTCTGCACAATGATGCTGCAAAATTCATGCTGTTTACTGTGATAAAAAACCTGAGAAAAATTCAAACAATTGGAAAATTTTCATAAAACTGAAACAAATCAATTACGCCAGGTGCACTTGTCGTAACAAAGACCAAACACCGGAATGAATCAGTTGTGGCAAGATCAGATCATCAGAAATAAGTTGGCCATACAGTTCTTCTGCCCTGCGCTTATTAAAAGGTATATTTAATATGCAGACCACAAATTATAAGGACAGGATAGTCTCATAAAAACAATGAAACTTATTATTGAAAGAAATCAATCATCTGCAAGCAAAGGAATACCTCCCTGTCACCTAATTGGTGGTGATACATCTCCTTTTTAAGTATACTAAACATTAACATATGTAGAAATCTAGTTTCTACTCGTTAGCAACTAAAATATGCTAAATCAATGTTTCAAGTAAAATCTGAATAGACAGTTGTTTTCTTAGTTACACAACTCAAGAACTCCAAATTTACAACAACATCAAAATTAACAGTATTTTATGTACTACAATACAACTGATGAATTTTTTTGCAAAACTAATTTGCAGCATAAAAATGTGGTGAATGCGAGATTGTGGCATGGGATGGCACCAGGTAATCTTCAGTATGTTTTAGATCCAAATAGGAATGATGCCAAAACTGTTTGAGACTCTCAATCTAGCGATTGAAAATTTATCTCTCAAGGCTATGCGCGCTACCTTTAAATACTTGCTTACCTTGAAGGAGGCTTCGGTCTCACTAAATTTTGGGAGAACCTATACCCTTAAATTGTGCCTCTCCACGCCTTTATCACCTTTAATCTCTAAATTCTCTTCCCAAAACCTTTACTGTCCAGGATTTGTTTTGGCTTTCACGGAATTTCAACTTATTTCAAAATTTAAATGACAAGAAATTTGTTTAATTGATACCATTTTGGGACTCCTTGACACTATATTTATTTCTCTTCATGACCAGATAAAAGGATATGGTCCATTGATCCTTCCAGGGCCTTTTCCTGTATATCCCTTTTTTCAGTTACTCAACCATTCCTTGAATAAGGAAAAGTCTTATTCAAAGACTATCTCAACAAACAAGTCTTTCATTTTATACTGCAATACTTCAAAGAATTAATAATAGTAACAATGCCATGTTTAAGGTTTGTGGCCTGCATAACACTCTCTCCAATGATACAAGGGTAATAATGTGTGAGCTTGCTCAGATTCTTTTCCATGCCTATTCTAACATTTCTCAGTCTTCTTAATTGATGCTTTTCGATCACTAATATGACTCCTCAAACTTCAGCACAGCATACAATAGGAATAAGATGAACCAGAAACAACAAATCACAACAAAAGAATGTATAGGCATATATCATAGAATGCACATATCCTAATTATTCCATCTAGCTTCTTACCATTGATTCTCCTACAGAATTAATCTCTTTCAAAGTGGCCTTAAGGCTGTTGATGGAACCTTGAGTAAGACACTAATGTCCTTAATTACGTCAACTTCTAATTTCTTAATTATTATTGTTTTTCTTATCTTATCCTGAAATCCTCCTATAAATTAACGCAGGTGTTCTGCATAGTGTTCTGTTTACAAAACTACTTCGATATTTCACAGTGATCCTATCATCCCACAACTTAATGCTGCTCTTAAAAATTATATATAGACAAAGCAAAACCAAACATCTTGACAAAAAACTGGAGACATGAA